TGTGTTGTCCAAAGCGGCAGAGTTTACAATAAACTGAAAACAATACTTGAGTTGCACTGTCACTGTTTAAATTTTTTCATAATTATTTATTCTGTAATATGTTGCATACAACATGCTTTTCATTTTAAATAAATGTTCTTAATTCCAAACCAGTCCCTTGTTTGTTTGTTTTTTTGTTAAATTATAGGACTAACGCCGTTACCTGTAAATTTAAATCATGTTTTTATTAAGTACTCGGTATCGGTATCGGCGAGTACTGAAATGCAAGTACTCGTACTTGTACTCGTTTCCAAAAAAGTGGTATTGGTGCATCCCTATTGTAGGGTCTTTACCTTACAATATAAAGTGCCTTGAAGCAGCGTCTTGTCAACAGGTATTTTGAAAATAAAATTTATTTGACATTTTAATTGACTGAACTGATTTCCTTTGGTTTATTAAGTCTGAGTGGTTGTATTTGAGCACTTTTGATCGACTTATATTCATTGTATTCATTCCTTAAAACCAGGTACTAATTCAAAACTTTCCACAGTGATTCTAAATCCTTAGCAAAGAGCAAAGGCAGGAAGTGCCAAAGTACAAATACTTGGTTACTTAGTTACAAATACTTAGTATAGAGTATGTTTGGGGAGTGCGATTGTGTGTACAGTGTCTATTTGTGTCTGTCTCCACGTTGGGTGAGTGCCGAGTATTTATTTGTCTGTGTGCATGAGGGTGGGAATGCACGTTTGTGTCTGTGTGTGTGCCTGTTCATCTGTGTCTATATGTCAGGTTGGGTCTTAGACTCCACCTCTCTGGGTACATCTCAGGCCCTGATGATGACCCTGATGAAGGCCACAAGCCGAAACGCGTTGGTCAATTATTAAAGTTGTTCATCTTCCCTCAAGTGTTGCTGGAGTTCCTGCTATATGATACATCTCAGGCCCTCCAAGGTATGGAGGCCTATCTCCCCTCACCACACTCACTGCCAGGTGACCCCTTGTCTGGGGCTCTCCCCAGCTCTTCCCAGGAGGATGGCACGGTTGCCCTTCCAATGGTCCTCCTTGGGTGTGTGCACACAGGTGTACGCATGGGTGTTCACAGACACAAACTACACCTTTCTTGGCTGCTACCTCAAAGCACATTGCGTGCTCTTGATGTTACGTGCTGCACAATAACATTCAGTGTTTAGTATCTATTGTCATTTACTCTTAGCTAGATTATTGCGATGGTGTTGTGTTTATTATGTTGCTCTCTCTTTTGTTTGTTTTCTCTTCTGATTTTTCTTCTCTCAACAGGTGATCCAGATTATTTTTTGAAGTGCCCTTTCTCACTGTCTCTCTTCCCGTCTGTTTTTCCTTCCCTCCCTCTCTTTCTTTCTTTCTCCCTTTCCTATCCCTCAGTCACGTCTGTCCCATCTCTAACAACCGAAAATAAAATAAATGATAATATGGCAAGGCCATGATGATCCACTTGGTAAAACAAATCCATTGGGCATCATTCTTGGCCTTCTGACAATAATTCTGACGGTCTAACTATGCCTTATCACTGGCACAAATTCTATGATTTGGTAGAAATACTATGTTTTAGCAGAAATATTAGGCTTCTGCAGAAATACTATGATTTGCATGTTA